GTCCTCCGCATTAAAAAGCTGGTCAATTCTGCATCCATTTTTAATGAATGACTTGACACGTGTTGCAATGTGAAACAGGGAGCACACAACATTTATTAAGAATTTATGACTGATAATGCTAAAGTGGGAAGTGATAGATGATAAATAATAGATTATATGAGTTTGTTATGCCTGCATAAGGTACATAATGGGGAACCTGATTTGGACGTTTTCATCACTTTTATACGAATAAACTAATACGCTCTTATAAATGATGCATCTTTCCTACTGAGGAGGAAATTAAAAAACATAATGTTTCTTAATTTAAGCTTACAGAATCAGCATAATTTGAATAAGTTTATATGCCTTATACTGTTATTTCAGCTCTGACAAGGATTCTCCATACCAAGCCTTTTCTGAAATCCAACTGTAACTCCCTCCTCTGCGTCTTATTTCTCTTAAAAACATCCTTTCTTGTTCTTCCTCTATATCATCTGCTCTGCTTTCAGCTTTTGTCATTTGATCTTTCTTTAGATCCCTGTCTTTTTTCATTTAATGCTTCCTCTTGTGCTTTCTTACTTCTGGTTTACTCTTGGTGTCGACGTGACTACAGCATTGCAGTCTTGTTGAAGATGCATCGAAGCTCTTCCTTCTTTCCTCCTTTTCCTTCCTTCCTATCTGTGAGATATCAAATCCTGTCACTTTAAGGAGGCTCTCCTGTGTTCAGCTGTGTCTTGTGCACTATATAAATATTTTGTTAAACCTAATATTTGGGGGTTTTATTGCACTGTATTTTTTAAACTATCCTGTATCTCGGACTTCAGACAAGGAAGAGAAATGAACAAAAGCAGATGGTTGGAGATGCTAGACAACTGTCGTCCACAGTTACTTATCCCTTTGGCAGAACACTTCAGTTAAACATTTGTTTGAACAAGAACTGTGTTTCCATGATATTTAATTTCCAATGTCTAAAAAAAGAAAATAAATAATTGAGTATTTCACCATATGTGGAAAAACTATTCATAGATTATTCCTTGAAAACCCGGAATATAATTTAAAATCCACCTTCTCACATATAAAGCCTTAAATTGCCAAACTCCATCTGATATCAGAGATATGATTGTTCCTTATGTTCCTTACAGAGGATTAAATCTTTCCTTTTTGATAAAGCATATAGTAAGAGTGGCTCAGGTTATCCTCAGCTATCTCTATAGTTATGCTGCTATATGCTTAGACTGCTGGAGGACATTGGGACCCCCTTTTCCATTATTCTGCTTCATTCTGTCACTCTGCAGATTTTTTTAGTTCAATCTCCAACATTATGCTCTCTCTGCTTTTTCTCATAGTAGCTTCATCTGGTCTGTTCCTGTTTGGCTATGACACCATCCTGGAGAGAAATATCAGCTGTGCTGCTCCCATCAACACCCTTGTTTATAGATGTTTGAGATTGGCCTGTTTTTCAGAGTAGTCCTGTTTCCCTCACATGGGAGCTGGACGAAGCCGCCTGTAGAGCTGGTTTACAGTTGCCTTTTGTATCTATGTCTGCTTTTGCCTACTTGAACCCCAGTCGGCCTCAGCAGATAGCCGCTCACACTGAGCCTGGTTATGCTGGAGGTTTCTTCCTGTTAAAAGGGATTTTTTCCTCTCCACTGTCGCTACAAGCATGCTTAGTGTGAGGGATTGCCTTCAAATCAATGAGTCAATGCAATCAGCTGGTTTTCCTTAGATAGAAAACTTTGAATCAATTTGACTGCATGATACGGTTGACTTGTAAAGTGCCTTGAGATGAATTGTGTTGTGAATTGGCGCTATATAACTGAATTGAAGTGAATTGAACTTTTTCCCAATTTGCCACATTATGAGCATTTTATCATGACATTAAAGGAAAATAACACAAGATTTAGAAAAAAATGGGTGTCAGTTTGATCCCAGGCACCTTGTCATGATGCATTGGTGTTTGGTTGTGGTTAGATAAAGTACATTTAAAAGAAAAAAATAGAGTTTGGAATGATGAAGCTGGAACTTTTTGAAGCCAGAGATTGGATTAGCTGGGTGAGATCTATGACCAAACATACTACATCGTTGGGGAGTAGTATGCATGGGCAGTCCAGGTGCAGATCAGGGAACCCCGGAAAAGAGAGCAGAGACAGCACTTGGACAAGACCCTCTAAATCAATGCTGGGAAACACTTTGTTCTGCAAGCAGAGCTATTCTGGATCCATTTCTGGTTCTGCTCTAGGATGCCTCCATTCTGGCATTTCTTCTTTTGCAAATACCAGTAAGGCTCTGGTTAAAAATGAGCGCCCTCTTTGGGAGTTGTAGTATTTCAACACTAAAGGAAATTCTCTTTAAGTGGACCTTATCAAGTAATCGGATGAAACCAATTTTCATTTTATAGGCAGTAATTTAGTCAGTTGAACATAAGATGAAATGTATAAGCTGAACAGATTAGGCTCACTATTTGGCAAGAAACGGGTGATTTTTTTATTTCTTGCTCCACCTTATTTTATGCATGATAAATATCAGCTATAAAGTGTTGAATAAATAAATACATCTATAAACTGTTTATCAGCCATCTATAGGGCGAGCCTTATTATAAAGGTGTACCCAAGTGGGTTGTGTAGTGCTGGGCAGATAGTAACATATTTGCTAATTAATTTTAGAAGACTCAGAAATAAATGATGTATAAACCCATGAGACGCAAAACAACCACCAACATTATCAATGCTGCTGATTCAGTTCAATGCAGCTGTATACCCTCAGCATGTAAGTACGTTTCTGTGACAGTTACAGATCCACTAAAGGCACAGCACAGACAGCACAGTGCTGACTAATGCTACCTAAGTACTTTCCATTATGGATCCTAATCAAATAGAATATCTCTGTACGCATGTATTTTAATTAAATACATAGAGTGCATAAATAGCTCTGGCTCTTTCCTCTTAGGAAGCTCCCTCTGCCCATTACAACCTGAAATTTCATTAATTCCCCAAACGGACCGAGTAGCAGAGACAGGTTGTGGATCTCTATTAACGTTTTAAATGCTCAGAGCTGCAAATTGTTGTAACTTTAGGCCCAGGGTTCTTTAACCATGTCCTGTTCTGTAAAGGGGCTTATTGCAGCCTTGGCAATGTTTTCTTTTCTCTGAGTAATCATAATTACAGGAGTCAATTTCCCATGCACACATTGAACATAGACCAGTCAGATCGCAACAGATAAAAAAAACAGTCACCATTTGCATTGCTGGTTAGTCGGAGGCCCAGAAGCAACTTTCGGTTGTCATTCTCCTTCCAGGACCATAATTAAGCTAACCTATGCCGCTCCATGAAGAAGTTCTGATTCTTTTCCTCACACAGCTCTGTACTCCTGGGCTAATCACCTGTGCTATGCCTGGGCATAGGTTAGCTTAAAACCTACAATTAAGAATCAGCTTAATTGTAGCTGGATCAGACAGTCTAGTCCTCTGATAGAAGAATCCGTTTATCAAAAAAAGAAAAGATTATCAACATGCAACCATGTTTCAGAGAGATGCAAGATGGACTTTTCAGACACGGGAAGACGTCTCTTACGTCTACCTTAGAAAAACACGGCCTCTGTGCTGCAAGCACACGCATGCAAAACCGTTAAAATAAAATAAGGAAAATGACACATATGGGCTGGACGTCCCTAGCACTGATGAGGTGGTTGGACAGTGGCTGCATGCTCCAGCCACACCCTGTGAAGTGTTAGACTTCACAATGCACAACAGTGCCACAATACATCACAGTCAGTTATGTTCACGAGTGCAATGGGGCACACCTGACCACCCCCAACTAAACCGTTGGGGGTGGTCAGTGGTACAGTGGACTTGAACCTTTCAACCCATAGAGGTCAGTGCAAAAAATGATTGGACTGGGAATGTAATTTAGTGTGGAGTGGCTCAGTATCAATCTAAGAGGCACCTCCACAGCACGAAACTGTGCCAGTGGTGAACAGTTCTCCAATTTGCTGGTACATCTGTAGAAATAATCATCGTTATTTAATTTGTGAAGTGTCAATTACTTTTCCGACCATGCAGACACATGCTTAGGATTTAGAGTCAAGTCTTTATCCTCTGTAGATTTGTTAGAGCTGTAAACAACTGCCTCTCTGGAGTTAGAAAGCCCAGATCCAGACCACTGTTTTGGGATTAACTGAAATAACGCATCTAAATTATTAAAGAATATTGAAACTACTTTATAATTTGTCACTATTGTTTTTTGTCGGGTTTCTGTAGAAAGGCTTTTTGTAATGAAAAACCACATGATTTTAAAGAAAAGAATGAAACAGAAAATCCAGTGATCTATGGTCAAAAATCCTTAAAAATGTGAATCCAAATGACAATGAAGCTTGTCTCCAACTGGAAAGCTCCTAATATAACAGCTAATACCCTGGGGTCAACTACAGAGAGCCGTGTAGGACAAGCAGAGTCTGAGGGAGGCCAAACACAGAGGGATCATTTACCAAACATCTCAGTGTAATCAGCACTGTATCACATAGCTGCAAAACTACTCACTACCGGGGGGGCTGTTTGTCACTAGCTCATAGGATCATTTCGATAATTAAATCTATATCCCTTTGACCAAATAGGTTTTTTAACCACTCGCAGACATAATAAGGCCTTAAAGGATTCCTCTGCACCAATTTAGAAAATACGTTTCATGTAATCCTTTATAATGATTGTTTCCTGAATATTACAAGAAATTATAACATCTTCAGAGTATTCATTATGATTTTGGAAGAAGTAGCAGACAAATTGAGAGTTGCTTCTGTGCCTCTGTTAGACTGTAGGTGGCTTTATTTTTATTTTTAATTTTTTTGCTTTTTATAGTGCAGTAGCAGGGTTTAATTGGTTCCACTGCCAGGCCAGCATTTAAAATCATTTGTTTCTCTTTATTTTGACCACTAGGGGGCGGAAAGAATCCAAAACATGTTCACAACAGTTGGCATCTAGCTTATCAAGTTGTTATGGCTGACATATTAGCAAACAGTTGCCTACTCACATATCCAGCAGAAACAGAGCAACACGGACATCCCTTTGGTCTCCTTTGTCTGGCCACCTGTTGAATGTAATTCCAATATTCACTGTCGCTTTAGCTTTTTGCTCGCTCCACCGGCTAATGAGAAAAATATGTGTACCGTTACGTTTTCACAAATGGCCGACTTCATTCGCAAAGCTCTCCCGGTTTTGTGGAAATGTCACCAATGTCAGCTAGCTCGCTTTAACTCCTGATTCTACAGAAGCCTCACCAATCCGTAAGGTAGGCTGAGTAAGGAGTTAGGAAAAAAATCTGCAAAATGATTTTGCCCAGAGGAAATTTTTATGGTACATATATGCAAATACTTGAATGTGCAGCAAATACAAAAAGTAACCTACTGCAATCTCAAAATATAATAAGTGCAAATCCACAAAACACTTGCAAAGGTAAAAATATTCAGAAAAGGAGAATTGCTGCCATTTATAGAAAACAGGGAGCAGCAAGGTGGAAATGCACTGCAAACAGAAAACCCACTGTGAATAAAAATGATGCAAACACACAAACATACAAAGCTTATTCAAAAATATATATAATAAATAAATATACAAAGTAAATAAAACAACAGAAGTGCTCCAGACCACTAGGGGGGGCACCCATCGATTCATTTGGGACCAAATCCTCAGTAAAAATATAATTGAAGAAGGAAAACAAGTTTTTCTTTGAATCTCAATCTCCCTGATGCTATAGTGATGCTCATTATAACAGCATTAAAATCTATGTAGGTGAATTTCATAATTTTTTAAGTTCATCTTTATTGGTCCGAATGGTAAACCTGGGTTTGAATAAACAACTAATATTTATTTCCATATAGTTTTTGTTTCGGAAGAGGATTGGTTATGGTGTGTTTTTTCGGTCACTTGACAGTGGCTGTGATGCAAGATTATGGGTGTTAAAATAAAGAAGAGAAGCAACATCAGCACAGTGGGCAGACTTTATTGGTGTCTAAAGGATACAAAATATCAGTGATAATAACAGGATATCAGCACGGATTATTATATTAATGCATCCCTACTCTCTGGAAATCCTATCTATGTCTTTACTAAAGCTGTTAGTTGGTGATCATCTCCTCTTAGTGGTCTGGAGCTGTTCAATTTTCAATAACTATTTTGTTTTGTTTTCTGCTTGCAGCAGTTTTACTTTGCATGAACTTTTTGTGTTTTGTGTGTCAGCATCATTTTCTTGCAAATGTGTGACTTATTTCCTTTGCAAATGTTTTGTGTGTCAGTCTTATTTTGGTATTTGCAGTGCTTTTTGTCTTCGCCATACAGTTAAGCATTTGCTCTACCAACATAAGTCTTCTGAAAAGTGGCATCAAACCAAGAGTGGGAGGAACTCATAAGAACTATGAAAACCAAAAAGTTATTTAATAGACCTTTAAATCAGGCTGAAGTACAGATTTTGGTCCAACCTGTGAACTATACCAGCTCATTTTTTTGGTCAATAGTCAAAAGAGGATGGACAGAAGTTAGTTGGGTCAGCAAGGCTTCAGGAAAATCTCCACAACAGAGATACAATTGTAGATTTCTTACAGCAGCAGTTAGCAACTCCACCACTTGTCCTTCATAAAGGCGTTTCCCTGTTTGAACACACTATACATAATTGCAGAGATAATTGGAGGATGTGAATCTGGTGTTGGAGCTAAAACTGGCAGGACACATCCCCTCGAGGACAAAAATTTTCCACCTCTGTCTTACAGGCTCACGTCATCTGTGTTGCTGCTTTGATGCAGCTCATGTATCACTGGTTTGGCACATTTTTTATAGTGTAAAATTATAGCGCCTTGCAAAGGTTTTTATAAGTATTGATTTTTCCTTTTTCACATTTTGCCACCTACAACCACAGACTGTAATGTTTTAGGGTTTTATGTGACATACTTACACAGTAGCACCAAATTGTAAGGTCAAATGAGAATGACACACGGTCTTCTCTTTTATTTATTTATTTTTTACGTATAAACATCTACAAACCATGCCATGTAATTCTAGCCAGCCTTCCTCCAGTACTGCCCTGTAGGTATTTTCTGAGGGGTGCAAAATGCCTGAATTCAAAGAATAAAACTTGCAAGCTAGGAGGTAAAACTACTGCATTTGCAGTTTAATTGCAATTTAACAAAAAGCATTATATTTAACAAGGGTAAGACACTGACTTTCTCCCGCCGGCCCTTTAGGCAGCTTTAAAACGCTTAAAATGGGTTTGCTGCCACACAGAGGGGAATACAGAGCCAGATCCATGCATGCGCATAGTAGTAACAACTTTTCTACTTAACATTAACAGCGAAGTTCGCAACAATTAACTCTGGACAAGAAAGCTTTCAAGGTCATGAAAACAATACAAAACAACATGGGACAAAAATTGAAAATTGGCTTTAAAAAAAAATATTTTAATCCTATCACAATCTCAGGAATGGGACCAAAAAGCTCAAACTTAGACTAACACACAAACAGATTAAAAAGAAAAATTATGAAAGTGACAAAAATCCCTGCAAGTTAACAAAGTCCACAAAGTAGCTCCGTATTAAGGAAGTACTCCAGACCATTAGGGGGAGACAATCATCAGCACAGATGTTAAAAGACCATAGACTTTACAATGTCTAAAACTATGGAGCCGATAAGTTGCAAAAACAAACTGGATGCTGTCCAGAGGAAGAAAAGGAAAGTTAGTATTTTTTTTTAATGCTTAATCCCTTTGAGCATTTATGAATTCGCTGAGGGTCTGGCCTAATATGGGTATATGATCGTCTCCCCCTTGTGGTCTGGTGCTAGTTTGGTGCAGGTTTTCTTAACTTGCTGCTGTTTTTGCTACTTGCAACATTTTCCCTTTGCATGTTTTGTGATTTTTTTTTTTAGTGTTAGTCTTATGTTTATGTTTGCAAGACTTCATGAACTTGCACACAGTTTGCACCCCTCAGCTGCCGTAGTGTTGCATATAAACCAAAAACCTTGGTTTCATGTTATCAGAGCAATTTCTTTTGCATACCTTGTAGCAAACTAAAAAACAAATTGTAGCCCTTGAGGCTTTTTTAAAATGATTTTTACCATTTGGGGACAGATGCGTTAAGTGCAGTGAGGTCAATGGATCCTCCCATATGAGCTGTTGATCTTTGGAGCTCCTCCAAAGTTAATATGGAAAGCTCTAGTTCAGAGGGTTTATAGCCAATGGCTCTGCAGCAGCTTCAAACTTGCAAAAGTGGCTCTTAATAACTTTTGCTAAAAATAATTTTTTTTTTCACATACATGCATTATAAATCCTGCAGGTTCAGCCTATTTAAAACATTTTCTAAAGTCTAATAACTCTAAATTTCTGCATGGAATCCCAAAGTTACCAATGATGACTTTAAAGTATTTAGTGCTTCACCAACTGCAGTTTTCTTTTTGTAGAAATGTTTTTTAAACCTGAGAAAAAAATAAAATGTTTTATCTTTGAAAATAAAAAAAAACATAATTTTGTTGTGTAGATATTTATCAACAATAATGTTGTCTTTTACCCTGAGACAAAAATTTGCGCCTTTAAGTTTTATTTTTCTGAACCCAGGGCCAAATGGCTCTTTAGGTTGTAAATGTTGTAGATTACTGATCAGGTAGAGATGCTATGGGGCCATTCTCTTTAGTAAAAAGATTGCACCTTTTTTTTATTCATGATTTACAAAGTAAGGGGGCAGAAAGAAAAAAAGGCACATTTTTCCAAATCTTTATAAACTTGTTTAAAAAAACTTTTTTTTTTTTACATGGAAAACACATAAAAGTGTGTTTCTGTAATGTGACAAAATGTGAAATTCAGTTTCACATTTAAATTTGATAATATACTGATACCAAAAGCAAATTCATTTAGAATTAAAAAGAGGTGTGAATACTTTTGCAAGGCACTATATTAACCAGTTTTCTGTCCTTTAAAGGGTAAAAGAGGTAACAAAGGGAAGGTGAGAGCATAACCTTGTTGTGGACTCTCTAAGATCAGGGTTAATGAAGAGAGAGCAACCACATTAACCGTTTCAAAGGTTTCCCATTTTCTTTCTGTTCTAATGAGCAGATTTCAAATTACACTCTGATGCATCCTGGTTTCACAGGCTGGGCACCGTTCACTTTTCCAAATGAACATCCAAGTGGGACGTTTGGATAGTGTTCAGCTGGGCGGAAAATTCCACTTTTGAATCCCGTTAATCACACAGGGATGATGTGGAGCACATATTTCACACCGATTGTACAGATTGTCTCTACGGCATACGTCCCGACTCGATCTCAGGACCCTTTTCTCTTCACCTCATCGCAGCAAACTGTCCTCCTCGGGAAGATGAGACGTGATCCCGCCGTACAGTGGGGAGGAAACCGGTTAGAGCCGAATGAAAGACGCGAAAAATAATTGATAGGACATTTCAACCTTAACTTGATTTCTACCTTTTTTCCCCTGCTCACCTTGCTTTCATCTTCCACACTTACCCCCCCCCCCCCCCCCTGTCCTATTGGTCTGTGGCCAAGTTCAATCCATCAACAGACAGGCTATTAGGTGGTATCAAATAAGGACCTTTATGCATTAACCATAATGCTTATCAGAGCCTGCCATTGATTATGTGCAATTAGATCATCCCTTAACTAGTGATGCAGGAAGATGTTAAGTGTGAAGAGAGGAGCTTGTGTGGAGAGAACACGGGGACAAGTCCTGATGGGGGGTTACTGTACATGAAAGCAAACACCACCGATTTATATCAACTAATCAACACCAACATCACAGACGAGTCCCAGTCTTACCTTCCAATCATGGTGGAGTGCTGCTGGACAGCTGCCTCCAGCAGCCTCTCCAGGATGGTCCATTCTCCCATGGTGATGGACTGATGGGGTCAGAACAAACAGGACTCTTCTTTCTCGCAGGACCGATGTCAGACCCGACGAACCAACACCAGCTCCTCTGGCCGCTGGCTCAGTGAGGGGGTCTCCTGATGGGACTGTCCTATGGTGCGTCCCCTTCCTGGGTGCTGAACTCACTGCACCCCCCCCTCACCCCCCTTACCAACACTACCTCCTCCCCAGTGCGGTGATGCTTCCCCCCCCCCTCCCGCTCTGCACTACAGCATATGCTATAGCTCACTGTACGACAGCCATGATCACCCTCTCACTGTTCCACTTTCATCTTTCCTGTCCTCGAGCTGGTGTCTGTCTCCCTCTCCCCCCTCGTCCCCCCCTACCCCCGAGGCACTCCTTCTACTTCAGCTGTGCCATCCATGTCGCTGGGCACTCGTCCTTGCATTATGTATCTTTGTCTTTGCTGCACCCTTGCTGCTCTAACCTGAACACACTCTTACATACAGCTGATCCACTTTGGCTAACCTCCCCATAAACACACACGCACTTCCTGCTCGATGTGAGCTCTGGACTTCCTCTCTCCTTGCTTCCTACTGCAGATCCACACCAGAACACGAAGCCCTGCCTGCTAAATGTCACTTCATGACTGGAGGAATGGTCGCTCCGCGCATCCTTGAGCGCCACACATCACAGACACTCACACGTCCACTCACAAACACGCTGCCACCCAGCCCCTCAGTAATAAATCAGCTGATTTGCTGCATTTAGCAGGACTGAAGCACAAGCAGCACCTCCGAAGACCCTGTGTCCTTTTGTTGTCCCCCCGGCTAATTTCGGCTCAGTCCGGTGCCCAGAGTCATGTCTGCTGCAGCAAGCAGGAACCAAATGCTGTCCTGTAAAACCTATTTCTAGTCTCCATCCCCTGGCATCCCCCCTCCCCTTCCACCTCCACTGACTTCCTACTGTCCCTCTTTTTCTCACGTTAGCGTGCAGCCCTCGCTCCTTCCTGCTACCTCTGCCTCAGTGCCCGGTCCCCATCTCCTCTCGCAGAGCTCTGTGCTCTCCTCTCTCTGTCCCTGTGCCTCCTTCCTTGCCTTCTCGCTCTATCTCTGTCACACTCTGTGAGCATGCACCCCCCCCTCCCTTTGTACCTTCTCTGCTCATAGATCTGCTCCCTCCCTTGCCTTCTTCTCGCCTCCTCTGGTAAATGTGCTTGGATTGCTACCCTGATTGCTGCTTCCCTTATGCTTGCAAGAATGCCTGCTGCCGAGCCTTCCTTTGCCTGATGTTGCACAGAAAAGTATTGCCCTGCCATCCATTTTTCTACCTTAAAACATTTTAGATGCCAACAGATCAGAAGGACCAAAGCAAAAGGTATCTGGTGTAGTTTTTTTCTCTACACCAAATCACCAAATACCTTATTTTCTGTTACTTTCTTCATCTTACCCAGTACTCGTGCCCTTTCTGTTCTCTCTCTCCTTGTCTTCTCTTTTTTTTTCTCAATAATGCAGCCTCCATTAAAGCCCCCCGCAAGCTCTATACGTCTCTAGAGAAATTAGCGTGTATAGTACTTCACCGTGACATTGAAAGCTGCATTCATTCGATTTATGTGAAGGTGGTGAAGGAAATGTGATGGTTTTCCTCCTGCACAGCCTCAGATGCATAGTTTTATTATCAGTAAACTCAGATACATATGGTGCCATCAAAGTAAGCAGAGGATGCTCAATAGTTGGACTTAAGGAGTGTCCCGCAGCTGCTCTGAAGACATGAGTCACAACAATCCTTTCCCATCTGGAGGACAGTGTCAAGTTTTGCAGAGGTGAAAGATGCAGTGGCAGCACATGAGACCAGCACACCAGAAGGGAGCAGATTAATTACATGCCCCTGGGAGGCTTTGGAGACGTCTAAATCTCGTCTACCCTTAAATATAAAAAGGGGAAATCTAACAGTTTTACCTTGGAGCCCTGCAGCATACACATGTGGGAAATAAATAAAGATCAGGACTTGATGGGGCAGCAAAGAGATTGTGCCAGATCAGCATCTTCTGTGGTTGAACGGAGGGAGGTAGGAAGGGGGGAAGGGGGTCGTTCCTTTACCAAGGACGTATGGTGTAGGAGTGCTAAAGCAGGGAGGGGAGCTGGGTCGGTGGGGTGTGAGGGCTTTCGCTTGGCACAGGTCGACACTCAAACAGAGCAGCTGAAGCGCTGGCATCAGCCGGTCGACAGTCCGGGAATAACTGGATGGCTCATGAATAAAGGGGCGCAGATGTATGTTGTCTTTTCAGTGACCTAGAAGTGTAGAGCTAAAGCAGGCAGAAAGGCACATACTGTACCCACAGACACATATCACTTAGAAATGTGGGTAATACTTAGCTCCTAAAAGAATTTGAAACTGACCTTCCAAAGGTTGTCAAGTTTGAAGAAAAGGGAAAATCATATATAGATTTTCATTATATAAACAAAAGAAACTGAATATACATCTGTTTTATTCAGCTATGATGAGTGGAGACTTTAAAGAAGCTCCCTCTGCTGCAACTGCAGGGTCATTTACAGTGTTTTCCCTGTGGGTTTCACTCATCAAGACTTTTCTAATATTCTTCTTTGCATGAGAGGAAGACCATCGGTAAAGATTGTTTGCTGCGATGGATATAAATGAAACGTATGTACAGGTGTGTTAATAAATGTAAGATTTGTATTTGATCCTTGTTGTCTAATCCTAACACACTCTAAGGCATAGGACATCAAATGTTTATCTGTTAAATACAAGTTTTAAAATTATGAATAAAAGTTACTGCTTTGAAAACACACGATACAAGAATACGAATTTCAAATTTAAAGGTACAAATGAAAAATTAACAAATGCAAATCACAAGTTGAGAAAGGTCACAAATTCATCACTATGAATCTTAAACTTTATGTAAAAAAATGATAAATTGTTAACTTTCAAGTATGAATAAAACATTTTAAAGTATGATTCACAAATTTAAAACTAGAAATCACAAATTTTGGAGTGAGAATCACAAATAAATGAGTGCAAATCACAAATTCAGAGGTAAAGATCACAGAATTAGAAGAATGAATCACTAATTTCCATTTTCAAATCACTAATTTACATGTATGAATCAAACATTTTGAAGCAGTAATCGTAATATAACACGTTTGAATCACAAACTTAAAAGTGCAAATCACAAATTTATAGGAATTAATCTAATTTAGAAGCATGAATTACAAATGTACAAGTACTCATTTATAACCCCAGATTACAGTAGCAGCCAGCCGAATAGCTGCCCACTTTCCTCCAACTCCCAGCAGAATCCGCTCCAACTTCCAGACACTAGAGTGACGCACTGCTTCTCCTGGGCATGCATATTTTTCTACTCTGACTCCACCTTTTACTAAGTTACAGAGTTGGACCAGGAGATGGGGTTTCTCTTTAGATCTTAATATCCACAAATCCTGACAGAAAGAACATTTTTGTACAAAGATTGATGTTTAAGAGGAATTTTAGGGGATCAGCCAAGGACAATCCAAGGGCTCATCAAGGAAAGTTGGGAAATATTGAATGGCTACAACTATAAGCTGTAGTTTTATATTTGGTGGTGATTATGTACATCAAGGTTGGTCACCAAACAGCATTAAACAAGAAGAAATGAAGGGAGACAAAACAGAGGCTGTCTCTGAACAGCTGCCCTAACCCATAAATCACTGCATGTCTATATACTGTAGAGTGGGGACTATAGTGAACTTAGTTAACTTACCATTCGGACAGATGATCGCTACTTTTTGCATGTCCCTGCACGGTGCCGGTGCCATTTTGTTCTTTCTCGTCCGCAAAACAAATCCCATGTTGCTTTGTGAGGAGAGCTATTGCAAAGCATTTTGTGAGATATCTGCTCATCTAGCGACCAAGGATGATCACTACTTTTTAAGGTGCATTGTGGGAAATTTTGGGTCCACAACTTTTTCATCCCCTAGACATTTGGACACTCATTTAAAATAATGTAACCACTATATATAGTACCCTATGTAGTGGTTAGAGTGGACATGCGAACACAGCCAGAGCCATTGATTGAATGTCTTACTGCACATGTGCTCAAAACAACAATTTTAAGCACAATCCCAAAACCAGCCCCTAAACACTAACCCCCTGTACTGTATGTGCGCTCCTGCAGAGGCTCCACAGCATTAAAGGCCATCCCAAACCACATAGTGGTGACGGCGAGAGTTCAGCCCATAAATAACAAGTCTGCATCAGGGAAATTTGTTAAGGTGTATCGCTGAACTTCCAATGAAGAGGCCCTCCACAGCTGAGTGAGACTTCATTGGTAGGGACACTCGATAGTAAAGGGGAAGAGCATAGGAGGCAGTTTGGGATCAGTTAGTGACAGGATTTACAAAAATAGAAGGTTAGATCCATGGTTTTGTTTTTGTCTTCTTTCTCTTCCTCAGCACTAATGCTGGTTGATGAACCACCTACAAGAGCATTACTGCCACCAACTGGTGAGGAATGTAACAGCTTCATCCAGGTTTGTAGATTTGTACTAGTAAATGTGTGATTTATCACTTGCAGTTTTTGTCATGGGACAGAATAGGCAACCCAGTATTCAAGGCAGACAGAAAGTAAGATTACTCAAAAAAGCCTTTATTAAACAATGGGTCTGCACTAGCAGCGTCTAGGGCATCTAGGAGAGGAACCTCTGCAGAAAGGAAACACCAGTTAGTGACGACTTAAATCTGGTGGAGGAAGATTATGAACGAGAGTCACTAACCTCGTTTTAATAGTTCAGTCTGAGCCTGGAGAAGGTGGTCGATTCCAGCCAGTCGGCTGATGACAAAACGTGGCGGGCGCTCCTCATAGAGTCCCAGATGCTGTAGCCCCGGAGGATGGAAAACATACAGGAAATCAGATCAGAGCAGATTAAGTAAGGCAGAATAATCCAATGGGCAAAGCCAAAGCCTGTGCTGAGGACATGCTCAGGATACCGAACCAGGAGACAAGAAGTCCAAAGAGGTTCCAAGAGGAAAACAACGGCGATAAAGCAGCTACAAGTGTTTGGCAAAATCCAGCAGTAGTCCAAAGAGGGTTCAGGCAAACAGATCAGACGGGAACAGGCAGGCTCAGAACACCAGAGGCAGAATGGGTCAGGATCAGGTAATCAGAAACATTAAGGTAACAATTAATCACTCTCACCTCTGGCTCGAGAATAATCTGGCACTGATGACTGGTTAGAGAGCTGGTTAAATAGAAGCTGAAGGAGGTGGATCAGATGAATGGTATCAAGAAACTGGGCGAAGCTAGGCGGGTGAATGAATTGAGTAATCAGGCCATTCATCAGCCCCAAGATCAGGACAGTTTTGCATTGTGTCACTTCTAACTTGTTTTACAAGATAAAACATCAGATGTCACATAAAGGGGAGAGTTAACAACAAGGAACAAATCCAAATTTATTTAAATTATTGATTTTCATTTAGAAATTTAGACATCTACATATTTATTTTTATTGGCAGTTATTTTACATCAAAAAGATCTCCAGACTGATTGTAGGTAAGATTTAGAGCTGGACTTTAACTGGGCCATCCTAACACATGAGTATGTATTCCCCACTGCAGCCGTGGCTGCTTGCTATCAGGGATTTTCCCGTTATAGGCAGCCCATTTCCCCAGTCTTTTCTTCCATTGATTTGGCTCCATGCTAATGTGTCTTTGCTGAATCTCCCTTTTCATAAAGGCCAGATATCAGTTGGGTCAACAGATTCTCACACCTGAGCTTTTGACCTTTGCAGCTCCTCAAAAGCTTTCATAGCCATCTCGGCTGCTTCTCTAGTACAATTACAATAAATTTTAAGGGCTTTGAATGTTGGATAATGCACTTTTTCACCTAACCTGGGTCCTAAAAACCCTTTTGTTGACATTACTCTCAAACACACAAACAGACATATACTGTTTCAATTTATTTATATACACTCTTCATATTAAGTGCACTCTGGGTATGAAGCACTTAGCTTTGAATCAAACCACAGCCGTTCCAGTTCAGGGACAACCACTCTTACTGTTAGGCCAGAACTCCCTCCATAAATTTAGAGTGCGTACTTGTAGGTAAGAAGTTCATACATCAATTGACTTGTAAATCATGCATGCTGTGCTTTCTGTAGGAATCAATTTGTCACATTAAAATAGCAAATTTCAGAGGATCCTTATTGAGGTTTTAAGCAAAATGTTCAATCTTTTAAAAAGTTGCGTACATTAATTTTCAAGTTTGCCACAGTTTGTGATTCACATTTAGGTGTGCACTTTAACTGGACTAACCCAATAGACACAAAAAGGCTTGGAGCCATTGAATCTATTTGTATGTTAATGTTTATTTTACTGCATGCTAACATCGGTACCCTTTGCTCCAGGCTCAGCTATTTTGTAGCATGTTTTCTTCCAGCATTCCTATAATTAGCCTTGCATCCCTAAAATCATTTCACACACTTAAAAAATATATATATATATATTTTATTATGCACCACTTATTTACCATTATATAAGGAACATTTTGTTCTATTATTGTTGCAAGCCAAAAACACATTTTGTAAAAAAAAAATAAAAATAATAAAAATAAAAAGATACAATCCATAAATACACTTACCAATCAGAAAAGGTTTCTCAGGCATGTTTGTATGTTTAGATTTTACTTTTTCAAATGTAGTCTTACTTTATTTTATTTATTTTTTTCATTCATTCTTTTCAGTCAAATTCTTTCTATATTGCATTTTACAGATCACATTTTCAAGTCAAATCCAAATGTCATCAATGCAGACTGGTGGAAATGTGATCTGTAAATTGCTATTTCACAGGAATGCAGCTAAGGCTCAATCTGAAAAAGAACATTTCAGAAATTTCATTTGAAAAAAACTGTAAAACAAAAAAATGTAATGTATAAAATAAAAAAGAAATTATGAAATTAAAATCTTAGCAAACCTGTTTTTTTTATTAATTCTTTTATCAAAGTTTAATTCCTGGGTTCTATTTTTATATTTTCATTTACAAAATGAGTTCTATGCTTGAAACAATATAGAAACAAAATTAATTCGATGCCAGAGAATCTAAACCACATACTCCAAAGTTATTGGTTGTCATATAACATCATGAATGATGATGAACAGATGCCACAGCCATGTGAAACTATGGGGATAATTATAGGTTCGAGCTGAAATCCAAAACATTAGGAAACCCATATATTGTTTTCCTTTCAAAATTATGCGTTTGTTTGATACTCTTAGTCTTCTTTTAAACTGCTTTGATCGCAAAAACTGTTCCTACCCATCAGCTGGAGCTCATGAGCAGCCAGGAGTCCTGCAAATAACATTCAGGAAAATTTCAATACAATGAACATCCAGAAAGCTTTTTCTTTTCAAAATGTCAGAAAGCGTTAAGATCAAGGCTTTATGAGTCCAGTGGATTGTTTTTATATTTATTATTTGGAATTACTATGACTTGGGTGACTGAGAATCTTCACCAGCAATACAACTTTAAAAATGTTAAGGGCCAAGTTCTGGATAAACATAACAAATATGAAAATGCAGTTAAAAAAAGACACGTGTCTAAAAAGAGCTCACCTAACTCACTGTAAATATTATGTCCTCTAATAGTTATGAGGGACTTTAACAGAGCAGGTTTCCACAGAACTCATGATTGGATTATCAGAGAAATTGCTTTGTATGTAAAATCTAAGCTGTGGTGTAATACTGCCCCCTTGTGGCCATGATCAAATATAACATGTCTAAGATCTCCTGTGTTTCAGGTTTCAGCCAAATATTTATCGATACGTCATGAAAAAAATCCAGCTTGTGCTTTTTCGGGTTAAATTCCCAGTTTTTCTTCTAAACTGGAGGATTTTTGTCTGTTAAACAACTATTAGTTTAACGTTTCCACCACTAGGGGCAGTGTGGCTGCCACTCGAACAATGTTCACTTTGTTCCTAAGGAGGAAGAAGTTATCTAGAATGCTAGCTGCTCGGTCGGTAGGAGTAGAGACACTGTAGTGATAATAACTTGGCCGCAGGAGTGACTGAATTATCCAACAAGTGTTAAAGCTGAAAGGAGAAGCTCCGGAGCATCGAGAATCACCGACTCTTCATCTGCACGTGCGGGGAAAGCAGGACAAGGCTGCGGATAGTGGAGCTTTAAGAGCCGCTGCTGAGGAAGCTGAGAGAGAAGCGTTAGATTCAGACATGTCTGCGGCCGGAGACTTCGGAAACCCTTTAAGAAAATTCAAACTGGTCTTTCTCGGGGAACAGAGTGGTGAGTTTTAATACATGATGTCATGGCTGAATGAAATACAGTCGGACCTGATTTCTGTAGGACATGTATCCGACTTTAACGGCTTGTTTCGGAGGTTGACGCGGAGCTGCTAGCCGGCTAACATTAGCCGCATATCTTTACACTGTGTTGGCACTTTGGAAGCGTTGCGACACTGTTGATGCCGTGTGTTTGTCCACGCTGGCTGCTTCCCACTCCCTTCTAGATATGAGGAAACTGACGTATCCACTAATTAGCTTCCTCTGACACCCCGTCACTTTTAGGGCAGCTGTAAATCGGTGGGAAACTTGTTAGTTAGCTAAAACAACAGTTAACGTTTGGGTGCTAACTTTATTAGCTGTTTATTTCTTAGATTGGTGTGTTAGTAGGTTGAAATAATCAGCGTGGGTTAAAGTCCGTGAACTCTGATTGTTTTTACAGTTCTTCTATCCTTGAGGCATTTCCAGGACCAGTGCAGCTCAGGCTACATTGATGAAGGGAATGAGGGGCTTTATTTCCAATGGTAGATATAGGAGACCCGTTTCCATGCTGTCCATAACGCAGCATACTTCTCTCATGCTAGTTTTGGGCTCATAAATAAGCATTGTTAATCAATATTTGTGGTGAGATGAAACATCATGAGTTTTGCCTAATTCCTTAAACGATCCCAGCAGTTCATGAAGCTTCATGTGAGCATGTTTGCCCCTAGTGGTGGACTGCATTACTATAGTTAGCTATATAATCTGTGATTTTTTTGCAATTGTTTTTCTTGTTCTTTCTTCTCCATTTAGATTCCCTTGAATTGTTAATGATTGGTGTGTATTATAAAATCATTTGTAAGTTTTTTTGTGATTAAAATGTCTTAGAACAGGATAATATTTTAAGGAGCAGTGTCTTTCTGTAATTTTACTGAAAAAAGCTCAAGCAGACAGTAGTGAAAGTGCTTGTGCAAATTGGGCAACGATGAGCAGAATGTAAGGTGTTAATAATTTTTCTTCAAATATAATAGTTTTTCTACAGTTTTTGGTTTTAATCGGGTTGGAAGTTACGTGTTCAACCAATCTTTTAGTTAAACCAACCAATCTAATTTCTATGTTTAAGGACTAACTAATACAAATTGGTCACTTTGGCCGAAATACTGGTTAAGTACTACAGCAACTTTCTAAGGTTCATACTAAGACTTGAACCCACAACCTTTAATTAGATGGAAAATTTCTTACAGAGGACAGCACACCTGTACTGTCATCCCCAGAAAGCAACAGTATAAAAAAACTAATAACACAAGTGAAACCAGTGGGTTGTTCAAATTCAGATTATATTGTTTGAGCTAATCTAGTTTTAACCAACTAGATTGGTTGTTTTTCCAGCAATTCTATTCTTAGAATAGATCCAAACTCTATCCAACTGACCACAAATCTCCTACGAACTCCCACATCTTGACTGAACACAAAGGCTGTTTAAATGCCTGTCAACTACTCGACACACACCTCGAAACCTCGGGTCATCTCATAACATCACTACTAATCAACAAGCTTATGTTTATTATTAGAATAGTAAATAAATGTTTCCATAGGCTGAGGTCTAATGGAAACTATATTCAGTCAGACTGATTTTAGATAAATAATCCCAGTAGGTGGCTATTCATTGCCTGATAAATTTTTTTTTTGTTTGTTTTTTTTTTTTAATCCTTTGTTTTTCCATGTATCTCTGTAAAGGAATATATTTTAATAAAAAAATCAGTTAAATGGCCATGAATCAAAATGAGCACTTATCCTATGATCAGCAGAACAAATACTAAAAAAAAGTCACATTTTATCTTCTTCAGTAAAGGATTAAAACATATTTAAATCTCCCACGCCTTTTCAGTGCCACATTTTCTAAATTATATTTTAATTCAGATTCTAAATGAGCTGATTTTTTTTTTTTTCATTTTTCAGTATTGAGCCTGATCTGTAGTTGTCTGGTGGTGAATATCAAGCTATTGCTTTTGATCTGGGTGTAGAGTGACCAGATTTGGTCTAAAGTTTCAATAACAACTTAAAAATAAAATAATTTAAAGAGATGAGTTAAACAGGAAGTGGTAACAGCATAGTTTGACTGTATTAACTCATAATAACTGTCCATTCTGTATTAAAAACTACACTAACCTACCTAATTGAACGATTGCTTTTATTATTGGTACAAATAAAAAGAAAAGTGAATGAGTTTCTTATCACTGGATGCGTTTACCTCCATGCGGAACATGGTTTCATCAGATGGAGACGAATGCCGTTTGTTCATCAGCCTGTCTTTGCAGCCTTAGAACCAGCTGTGTTGACTTAAGTCATGTCTCTGTCACTTGATGCCCAAAGTATCTGATACTGAAACCAGAGCTCTGCACAGAGCGCAGTCTACAGCCGGGCACCAAAGCTCAGGGAGGCTTCATCCGTCCAGTTGTTGAAAAACACATTCTCATACTTAAACCTCTAGATCAGGAATGTGAGAGGGTGTGATCTTACTGTTATCTGCCGCTGTTTTTCTAAATAAATGTGAATGTGTGGCTGTCGTTCCAAAGTTTTTTTGCTTAAAGCAGCACAAAGGAGGACCAGGTGCTGTAGTTATTACAGTTCAGTCCCAGAAGCAGGTTTTCAGCATGACGGCCACAACAGCTGCTTTGAAATGAGGCAAACTTCACTCCAGATGAGCTAAAAATAGTCTGCTGGTGTTTAAAGGTAACAGATACTTTTTCATCAATATAATAATTAAAAAAAATCTCCTGAGAACATTAATTTCCTAAAAAAATAAAGTCTATATAATTAACTATACCAATTTCCCTTTTTACAGTAACATTACCAAAGATACCTGTATTTTTAAAGCAACCATGCTTATATTTTGACCCAACTATTATTATTTTAACATGTATTCAGTGATTAGTCAATATTCAGATCTTGGTTTGTATCGATGATCACATTCATTCCTCAAAACTCTTCTCTGTAACTTTATAGTGACGAATCATCTCTGAATTAGTCATGTGACCCAGAACGCAGATTCACGGCAGTCTTAGCTAAAACAAGATATGACATAGGGCTGGGCGATAATTCAATAACGATATAATTGATAGACGTGTGGCGCAATAGAAAAAAAGAGGGTCGATAAAAGTTCGATTAAAAAAAAAATGTTGTTTCCCTTCCTTCTCATTGTAGCCTAGCATGTAGGTTTATGGTAGTCACTACTTGCTCCCAACCAATCGCAATCGCGGACCCAGGCACGGCATCACAAAGCGCCGCCCTCTCAAAGCACAACACAGAGCACATGAAGATGTCACAGCAAGGAGAGGCGGAGGAAATTGTTCCAAAGAAGGGTTTTTGTAGTTCGCCAGTTTGGCAGTATTTCGGTCATGGCAAGTCGGACAAAAAACAAACCACAGTCATCTGTAAAATGTGTCGGGAACCAGTGAAAATTAAGTCTGATAACACAACCAACTTTTTTTTTTTTTTATCATCTCAGCCGCTCACACCCGCAGGAGTACGAGCTGTGTAGGCCCCGGCCTATATATATATATATATATATATATATTTTTTTTTTTTTTTTTTTTTTTTTTTCAGTTCTGGGCAGTTTCCCACGTAGTTCTAACAATTGAGAGAAAAATGCTGAGGGGCAAGCAACTTCAAAGTAATAACTCAGGTTAAAACAGGAAACTAAGCTGAACCATAACAAGGTGCCAGCAGCACCTCTAGAAGAATAGGGGTGAGAAAAAATACCCCATAGAAATGCTAGGCTAAAGGATGAGTTGATTTTTGTTTGGGTTTTTGTTCTTGTTGAGTGGAGTTTACATGGTAGCCTAGTCCTACAATCTTTTAATTACCACAAGCTGGTGGTGTACTATTCCCACCCAAATAGGGTATTCTATTTATTTATTTGTTATATTTATTTCTGGTCACTTTAGTTTATTCTTTGTCAGTATTTAGTAACATAACTCAGGTCTCTTAAGTTATTTTTCTTTAAAACAATTGTTATGGTTAATAAAGTTGGTTAAATAAATATTTAATTGGAAGTCTGTGTTTGTGTTCTTTATTAAAATTAAATAATTTAGCAATATCATAAAAAATCCAGGCAGAGCTGCACATAAAATATGGTTTCAAATCTTTTCAATAATTATCGATATCGATCAATATGCATTTTTTTTTATCTATAAGCTTTTTTTCTATATCGCCCAGCCCTAATATGACAGCGGATCAGACATACTTTTGGTTCTGTGCTTGAGGAGTTAACCCCTTATAAAAGAGTGACGCTAATTAACTTCACCCTAGTCTCAGTTTAAATACCGCTAACAGGCTTTATGAATAACACGCATGTTGAGTGTTACATCTGGTGCTTAGGAAACCAACAGAGGTACTTTGATATCAATGAAAATAAAAACTAAACATGATCCGTGCAAATTTAATTAGCAGAATGTACAAACTTTGGTTCATAAACTCAGTAAACTGAATCTGAGTCAATTTGTGCAACAGAAAAAAATAACAATGACTTCAACAACTTTATATGGAGTGAATTTTCTTCCATTATTGTTTCCATTATAAGTAAAGGACATGTTTTATGATAATAAATTAAAGGGATCAGATCAGACATTCAACTTAAAGTTTTAAATTGTGAATTGCTTGAAATTAGACTTGTTTTATGTCTCCTTAAATGGTATTTGTTCAGTTTTAGGTCTCCTCTGTTATATTTATTGATCTCGTTCCAGAATGTTTTTAATCTGTATTGGAAAGGTCGCTACTTTGCTGAATAACTTCCAGCTTGAACTAATAGTTTTTTGTTTTTTTTTTCTGTTTATCAGTGGGGAAGACGTCATTGATCACCAGGTTCATGTATGACAGCTTTGACAACACATACCAAGTGAGTAAGAGCAGTTTCTCATCACCATTAGTTGCTAAGGGTGTGGATTATTTCACCATTTCTCCTTTTTTTTTTCAGGCCACAATAGGAATAGATTTCCTCTCCAAAACCATGTATCTGGAAGACAGAACGGTAGGTTTATTTTCAGAGCAGCAGAGGGTGAAGGATTCTCCTGTGGTGGGGTAATGCCGTTGGGGGTGGGGGGTTGTATAATTAACACATTTTTTTTATGCCTTGCTAACGTCGTAAAAGGGACACTTTATCCTCCGGATACTCCATATTTTCACTGAACGCTTCCTCCTTCAACTTAAGTATTCTTCGTCTCCTTCCTACCCCCCACCTGTCTCCCATCCCATTTTTGAAATAAAAAGACCTTACTTGATCAGGAGTAGAGGGACAACGATAAGTGGAAGGTTGTTTGTTTCTTTCCCTCCAGGCCCAGACAACTTGCTCTCTCCTTGCATTCCCTACACCCAGTGTCTATTTTTATTTCCCCCCCTCCATCTGTCTGTCTTCATTTTCTTTCTCTTTGTTTTGGCCATATTGCCATAGCTCATTTATCTGTTTTCTTTTTTATTTCCGTTCTCTCTTTATTTCTTTTTCTTTTCTTGCTCTATTATTTCCCGTCCCATCCTCTCCCTGGCCAACAGATCAGGTTACAGTTGTGGGACACGGCAGGACAGGAGCGATTTCGCAGCTTGATCCCGAGTTACATCAGAGACTCCGCCGCTGCTGTCGTCGTCTACGACATTACAAGTAGGTGATGTTCGGTTGGCTGATGAATTATACTGAAGTTCTGTTTAATTTCCTTGGAGGGAAAAAAAAAAGAAAAAAACGGATGAATTTGCAAATTTTTCTTTTCCTAAAAAGAAAAGGTTTTTCTCTGAACAGTTTTGTTTTTATTCAGATGTCAACTCTTTCCAACAAACTACAAAGTGGATTGATGATGTCAGAACAGAGAGGGGAAGTGATGTCATCATCATGTTGGTGGGAAACAAGACAGACCTTGCAGACAAAAGGTTGGTTGTCAATCTGTTCTGCTGTTTTTGTTTTGTTTTTTACAGCATAGCCTTTAATCAAAGCTGCGCTGCATCAGAGGCAACATTTTCTCCTCATGGATATTCAAGTATACAGAGTGAAATCTGTTCCATTATTGATGCAAGCAGAAACATGTTTGGTAAATTTAAAATTTGAAAAATATCCAGTCCAGAAATGAAAGAAGAAAAAAAAACAAAAAAAAACATAAAGCCTTTGGGAGGAACTTCACTTGTTTTTCAGATTTTTAAAAGACTATTTTATTTTTTTCAAATGTATTTTCTTACATTTTATTTTGTCTATTCTCTACATTTTTTCCAAGTTTTATTTTTTCAATGATTTTTTTTTCCTTTTCTTTTTAGAGAAAGGTTTACAAATTCCACTCTTAAAATTGCATTTCCCAGATTAGGCTTTCCTCTGGAATGAGGAGTGACGATGCATTTCTGTTGGTTTGCTAAACATTTACATTTTCAAGAGCGAGTGTTTGTGTTGGATTTGAAGTTAAGAGAATTTGATCTCTAAGACAAGCTAAAATAGAATGCAATTAATGAAACTCGATCTGAAATAGAGAGACAAAAAAATGTATTTTAAAAACAAAGAGCACATGTAATCGTCTAGTTACAGTTACCTGACTCATGTCGCAGGCTTTTCGGCACGTACAGCTTTGCTATCCACAGATCTCTTCTCCTGTTCAGAACACAAACTTCTTCTTATCTTATTAACAATAAATGGCACCAAAAGAGTATGGTGCGACCTGAGATGATGCCGAGACTGAGGCTCTCTCATTGAAATCTCGGTGGAGGACAGTATCCAGGCACAGAAGTTCCTGAAACTTGGGGGCGCCACCATTTTTTTTAAATGAAAATTTGAGGGGAAAAAAGGAAATCCATGAAAATAATGCTTTAAAAAGGTCCAAAAGGGTTTTTGAATGACTTTGCATTTAATTTTTTTCATTTTAGATTGTATTTTTTCCGTATACAGTCTGTTGCCGTAGTGACCTGTCCAGGGTGGCCCATATGCCCCATTTCCAATACCCCTCTGAAACCGATCTGTTCTGAGTTCGGCACAAGCTTGGATCAGTTAACCAAGCTGAGCTCGGTTCTTATGACGATTTACACATCACGCTACCACGGTTCCTCGCCTCTTATCGGTGGTCCGTCATACTATAGCTCTCAAGTCGGGAATTGCATAAAACAAATATATTTTTCAGTTGCAACAATAATGGAACAAAAATCACTCCATAAGCAAATAACCGACTTTCTCTTTTTTTTCCACATATCTGATACGGATGGATGATTTTGTTTTTAATGTTTTGTCTGTTCATGATAAAAACTTGTATTGTCTTCTCCCTGGCTGTGCATCTTTTAACCTACTTATCTACCACAGGCAAGTATCTATTGAGGAGGGTGAACGGAAAGCCAAAGAACTAAATGTAATGTTTATAGAGACTAGTGCAAAAGCAGGCTACAACGTGAAGCAGGTAAGGGTG